AATATGCTGGAGGTTAGGGCTAGGATTCAGAGTGACCTAGACAAATTGGAGGACTGGGCCAAAAGGAATCTCATGAAGTTCAACAAGGTCAAGTTCAAAGTCCTGCACTTAGGATGGAGCAATCCCATGCACCAGTGCAGGCTGAGGCATGAATGATGCATGCCCCCAGAACCTGGGGGGGCATGGTGACCGTCCACAGACAGCGGCGGCAGTGGCAGCAGCAGTGGCATGGCAGCAACGAGTGGGGAGCTCCCACAGGCGGCTGTGGCGGGGGTGGGGGGAGAGTGGGGCAGGTTATGAGTGGCATCTGCCCACAGGCAGTGCTGGCAGCGTCAGCAGAGCTTCTGTTAAGGGGTGCACCGCCAATCTCAGAGGGTGCACATGCACCTGCGTACACCCCTTACACATCACCAATGGGCTGACGGCTGACTGGCTGCAGAAACGTACCTGGGGCTTACAGTGGACAATAAGCTGAACATGAGCCAGCAGTGTGCCCTTGTTGCCAAGAAGGCTAGTGGCATATAGGGCTGAACTGGTAGGAGTGTTGCCAGCAGGTCAAAGGAAGTGATTCTTCCCCTCTATTCAGCACTGGTGAGGCCTCATCTGGAGTACTGTGTTCAGTTTTGGGGCTCCCACTACAGAAAGGATGTGGACAAATTGCAGAGAGTCAAGCAGAGGGCAAGAAAAAGGGTGAGGGGGCTGCAGATTATGACTTATGGGGCAAGACTGAGAGAACTGGGATTATTTAGTCTAGAGAAGAGAAGACTGTGAGGGGACTTAATAGCAGCCTTCAAATACCTGAAGTGGGGTTTGAAAGAGGATGGAGCTAGACTCTTCTCAGTGATGGAAGATGACAGAACAAGGAGCAATAGTCTCAAGTTGCAGCAAGGAAAGTTTAGGTTAGATATTAGGAAGAATTTACTCACTAGGAGGGTAGTAAAACACTGAAATGGGTTACCCAGAGAGGTTGTGGAATCTCCACCCTTGGAGGTTTTCAAAACCTGGCTAGAGAAATCTATGGCTAGGGTGATCTAGTTGGGGATGGTCCTGCTTTGAGCAGGGGGTTAGACTAGATGACCTCCTGAGGTCCCTTCCAACCCTAATTTTTTATAATTTTATGGTTCTATGAGATAGATGGGTAGATATCACAAGTTATATGCATGTATGTCACAAGTTATATGCATCTGATAATGTGAGCTTTAGCTCATGAAAGCTTGCGCTATATAGATATAGTATATAACATCTGACTCTATTATGACTGTATATATTACAGGGTTTATCCGGTGTTTTTAGTTTAATTGGATTAATAATCACTGTTTCTCTGAATACTGCGTGTCACCATCTTTTATCTACACTGCTAATGCTCAGCATGTGTATAGTGCAGCAATTCTCATGCAGGGTGCTGTGGCACCCAGGACTGCTGGAAAATGCTTTTAAGGGTGCCTCCTCTGTTAACACTGTTAGGTGTGTGCAAACACTTGCACACAATTCACAAGATAAACTCAGAGATTTCAAGTAGGAATCCATAGTACTGGAAACATTTCTGATCTGTTGTAGTCTTTCTTTGCAACAAAAAATTGATCTATTATCTTTTTCATAGTCACAAATGAGTGATAGCTAAGAGCTGGCATTTTCCGAGTGGTGCTTTGAGTGTAGCGGACGGTGTCTGCGGTCTAAAAATGTTGAGAGCCACTGGTATAATGTCTCCCATCACAGGTTCACAACATATCTCACATACTTTAGTTAATTTAGCTTTACTCCACCCACTGGAGAAAAGTGAGATTAATACTTCTGATGGCAAACCTGATACCTAGTGGGATTAAATCCAACAAGTTGGACTAATTCTGGGTGTCTCAAACTGGACATCTGAAATTTTGGCCCATGTGGCTTGAGCAAGATCATGGGGTGAACTGATGGTCAAGCTAGAAACAGAATCCAAATCTCCTAACTCCCAGCAAGATCACTGACCTTTGGAACAACCAAAGAAGGGACAGGGGCTTGGAGAACCCATTGTCAGTTTTACATTGAAGCACCTTATTTAGGGAGTTGGATCAGTGCTCTGTGAACTACAAATACTGTGAAGCAGTGATGAATATGGTTGTTTGTTGAGCACTTCACGGTCATATCTAAGGGCTGGATTTAAGGAGCTCTCAGTAAGCCGGGATATAATACACGCAACAGAGTTTCACCCTAGACTCAAACCAACTTGGGTAACTTTCCCACTATCCTAGCCCATGGTGGATTTGCTGATCCAAGAGGTTCAGAGAAGAAGCTAAATTTTGGGGTACTAAAGGGAACTGAAATGCTGAGTGATCAGGCAGCCCTACTTGCAGGGACTGACAAACTTGCCACCCTATCACAGAGCATCCTGTGCCTCAAGCCATGAGCTCACCCAGAGTAGCCCTAAGCAATATTGCTGAAAAAGGAGGGTACAGTGCTTTAAGTATCCCAAGATCAGCTAAGGACCTGCAGCAGCAGAAGAGCAGCTGTGTGCTGGTACAAGCCGGAGGACAACAATGAGGGATGTCTGGCTTCTCTTGTCATCACCCCTCAGCTCCTATTACCAGATCCTGGTTGTATCCTGATGGAAGGTAAGTGAGTGTCTTACTCGTGGTTATTCACAGACAGGAAGCCAGCTGGGTGAAGGTATAACCAGCGACATTGCTTCCACCTGAAGGGGAACTCATCACCAGAAATCCAGGTTTTCCGTTTCCCATGAAAAATGGAAAGAACCACAGATTTCCCCCTTTACCAGATGAAAATGCGGATTTCTCATTTTACCAGAGAAACCATGGATTTTGCAGTTTTGCAAAGAGCTCTCTGCAGGCTGGCAGAGTTGCAACCTGCAAAGGGCTGGGAGGGAGCTGGAGGAGGCAAGGGGCACCATGTGCATGCATGCACATGGCCCCAGGTAGCCTGGAGAGCAGCTCCCGCAGGTAAGTGGTGTGGAGGGGGATTGAGGTCCCCATAGGGAGAGAAGGAGTTGGGCAGGTCCGGGGCTGCTGCCCAGCTGGGCAGTGCGTGGAGCTTGGGGCCTGGGGCCACAATGCGTACAGCCACAGGGTCTTGGCACAGAGTGGGATGGGGCCGCAGGTAGCTCATCTGAGGGGCAGGGGAGGAGGGGCCAGCTCCTTGCCACTGCATGCACTCCCAGAAGGTGGGGGGACCTGTGCCCCCAGATCTATGCATGGGGTGGGGTGGGGTGGGTTGCCTGCTGCAGGCTCAGGCTTCTGCCCTGCTGCCCTCCCCTGGGGCCTCTGCAGCCCAGCAGGTGTGACCCAGCACTGCAGGGTACAGCGGGTCACACAGTGAAGATGCTTGCCACTGTGAGCCTTACACTGCCTTGATGATGAGTCCCCTGTGCGTGTGGCAGGATTGGGGGTGGTGGTATGGGATTGGGCCCCTCACTGCTGCCGAGCAGGTGCATGGCCACAGCAGCGTGGAGCTCGAAGCGGCAAGGAGATCCCCTGTGCCGCCCCACTCTGCCCTGCAGTGCCGGGTCCCACCTGCTGGGAGGGAGCCTGGGCTCACAGCGGGCAGCCTGCCCCATGCCTGCCCCGCACACATATCTGGGGGGTGTGGGTCCCCCCTGCCCCTCGGGAGTGTGTGCAGTGGGGGGAGCCAGTCCCACATGCTCAAGCCCACAGCAGGGGGGAGCCAAGCTCCACGCTCCTCTCTGCTGCAGCAGCCACTAATTCCTGCCAGGCGCAGGGGGCTGTGGCCCTGGGTCCCTGGCCCCATAGCTCTGGCAGCTGGGGGCCTCCTCGGGCAGGGCTGGGGGTGGCGGTGGGGGTGGAGACTGAAGGCCTTTCATTTTAATCACAGATTCTGGGGGTTTTCTCATAGGATTTGACATGGGAGCTGATTTTTACCAGGGAAAACCAGGACCCCTGCATCACGTGCTGCACTGGGAATGGGACAGGCTTCTCCTTGTTCCACAAAACAAAGGTGTAATATCCAAGTGTGTGGAGATTGTGGGGCTCTTTTTATTAGTCATGGGCACAATTCCCTTGACTTCAGTAGAGCTATGCTGATTTATATCAGGTGAGGGTCTGGTCCAGTTTGGCTGAGCTTGGGAGGGGTGCTTCACAAGTCACTGCCTAATATTGCTCCTATAACTTATCTATTGCCAACCTTGTCCCTTCTGTCTCACACAGCCGGGGCACTGTGTAAAGCTTCTTAGTCTGAATGGTTTGCTTCCAAATCTGCTTCACTTAGTAGTTTGTCTTTTCCCCCAGCCCATGGGCAAGAAGTTGATGTGACTCCTTGTCCACTGGTGCTAGGGTAGATTTCCTGCAGCCTGCACAAAAGCTCTGTAGAGCTACTTAGGTTGACCTCATGGAAGCCACATTATTTAGTGCTGTATGGTGTGACTGATGGCCCCAAACCACATGAGGGATGAGCATAAAGAATCTCCTAAACATACTAGAGCAGGTTGCCAAGAGAAACTCTACCCCCTTTAAGCCCCCAGTGCATGCTCATGCATCCTGCCGAGTGCCATCATAAACTACCCCGGCAATTACTTACTTTATTTCCTTAAAACATGAGACTGTCTGCAGAGACCCGACCCCAGTGAAGCCTCACACTGCAACTCACACCTGACCTTCATTTATTTCTTCATCTCCAAAA